TAATGTTGCCAGTATGCTACACCCAAGTGCACGCGCACACGGAGTTTACGAATAATACTATAAACAGTCGCGATACGTTTTGATAAGACCTCTAAATTAATTTATTCATACGTATGATATTGTCTGTATACCTATTTTAACCCACTACTTTCGGACACTTGAAGCGGTTCCCTCGGGGCCTAATGAGCTCAAACTCGGAAATTTCAGTTGTATTATTGGCAAGCGATAACCTAACCCAACCAAACTTGAGTTTGGTCGAATTTAAACATAAATTTCAATATGAATGGTGGATGTATTTTCCAGCACTAAACACCTTTGCAGACCAAATGAAACCGGTGGTATAAGATTTCGTACATGCTCGGCATTAGTATTAAGGATGTGTTATTTGGAGATTTAAATTTTCATCCTTCACCCTTACCATTTCTATGCTCAAATTTCATTTTTTTTTTTTTTTTTTTTTTTGAAATAGTGTAATTGTGTTACTATTTTTATAATAATGTGTGTTGTGTATTTTTTTATAAAAAAAGGAACATAAAATAGACGGTAACAATAATTATACTCCTATGACGGACCTCTGCTGCAGTTCGCGTCAGTTTGTGTTTTGAATCATCACTTCGTTTTCTCTAGATGTCGATCAGGTTGATCATCATTCCGGTTTTTTTTCTGTTGAAAAATCATACGTATTAAACTGGCTGAATAAAAAAAAAAAAATGAAATAAAATCATAATGTCAAACCGACGGTACCGAAATGATTCCGCAAAACGTACGGCACGTCTCATCGATCGCGATATCGCATGGTACGCGATTATTCGATCGTCGTCATGGAAAAGAAAAAAAAAAGGCACCAACTTACGAGTATTTACCGCGGGGTGATCGATGGTCGTAATATTTCGCCGATAATCTCGAGACGGCTGGACAAAGCTTTGTGTCCGCACAAAGCTACGATAATCTCGCGAAATAATATTATTGTGCGTACCTTTATGAAATATGAAAACCGACGGAAACGCCGGTCGTGACGTCGCGTTTGGTATTTATACAACATTATGGCGACGGTCGTGATCGAAACGTCGTCGTTCTCGTAACCGGTGGGCGAGTGCCGCGACTTGTCATATACTCGTGGGTGGACGGTGGGGTAGGGAGCGGGGAGCTGGGGAAGTGCAATAAGACTCGACTTGTCGATGGTCCGCGGAGATTAGCGAAGAGAGAGAGAGAGAGAGAGAGAGAAAAAAACCCGACAATAGCGCCCCACGCGACCCGTTGGCGTTTATACGGTCCGACAGTCGTGGATTTACCGGGATAGGAGAACGCACGTATAATATGCGGAAATTCGATTTACCTGCCCCCCCCCTACCCCTTTCCGGACTCTCAGCCGCCATAAACCGGAATATAAACCCAAAAATATCGTCTTTTGTCGTTTGAATAGTATTTTGACAATTTGTCGAACTCGCATCGGATTGATAAACAAATTTGTTGCCATCGGATATTATCGTCTCCGGGGTTCGGATTTCGTGACACTAAAAAGTAATGGAATGCACGCCGTCATAATGATCGAATAAGCATTAAAAAAAAAAAACAAACAAAAAAAAAACCATTGCTAACGAAAAACGATTCTGAGTCGAGTTCGGTTAAACATGTTTTAATACCTATAAACACCACAATCACTACATTACGCTCAAATTTTACCATCAATTACAACTTTTATGAATCGTATCTAACCGGTTTTAGGTCCCAAATAAAATATGACAAATTTGTTCTACTATTTTTGCATTTAATTTAAACGATATTTATGAAAACCACAGAATAAACTATTTTATTATGACTTTCGATGCATACTAGCAACTTATGCAACCTATTAGACCACTTTGCTATTTTTATCTGTATCTTATAATATAATTAACAAATGTTCTAAACGTCTGACCCCCTGATCATCACTATATGGTTACTAGTCGTTAACTTTTTCAAAAAAAAAAACACATCTAATTAATGTACAAAGGAGATAAAATATTTTATTTGTAACGTCTTTGGGAAAACGAACTGAAACTGCAGCTCGTTGGGGAAGTCACTAATCACTATTATTTATCGGAAACTCCGAAATTTAATTGAAAACCATGAATGCAATGCGATAAATTATGGCAAATATAACACGATTCTGAGCGGAGCTTGATTAAACATTATTCGCTTGAATTAAATTGAAAATAATTTTGAATTACACAATATTATTATTACTTAACAATTTTTCATTGTTTTTACGAACTCTATCGAAATTTGAATTTCAAACAAGTGAGTATTTGGAAAATACTTCAAGTATTTTCGACAAGTTTTATTTTTCTTTTGTGAACAGTTTCCCGGAGGTTTTCATTATACATAATGGTATACAAAGAAAAATTCAACTGGAAAAAACACTAGAAAAAAAAAAAAAGTAAATAAATATCCAACGAGACAAAATACCGAATCAAATTCATAACCGTTTAACGACGAAATTATTACAGTTTGTTAGATTTGTGTTTTAAAGTATTCTCAAAACCGTTATTATTGCTCGCAGTGAGGTATCCGTTTATTCGGTTTCAAAAGCAGTTTTTCTTACAATATTAGTTTTTTACGCGGAATAATGCTAAAAAATAATAAAGATAGATACTAACCGGCCATACCTTGCCTGTAAAGGCAACCAATAAAATGGCATCCTAACAATTGTTTTAATTAAAATTTTCGAATTAATTAATTAAACATCCATTTGTAAATATTTCAGACTACAGCGACATTCTTGTTTGTATAGAGTAAGCATTCTTTATAAAATTTTTTATTTTTTTAATCTGCCGTTTCTAAGGCTTTATAGTAAATAAATACGTTTCCATTTTAAATTAAATTATCGCGGAACTAACATTCTTTTTATTATTTTTTACTTTAACACGACAATATTGCTCACTAATTAACGATGTTACACTGTTTATATTGATTATTTCCAAAACGTATTGTAGACATTATATGAAACGACAAAAATGACAATTTATCAGCTCAAAAAAAGTCGAATTTATTTTGAAATAAATTTACAAGTTATCCCGTGTCTTTAAACAATAAATCATTTACGGTTTTATCATGAAATAATTTAAAATATTTATCAACATATTTTTTGCGTTGGATTTCATTTCATATTTGTATAGTAGAGGACACAGATACCGACATTCAAGAACACATTGCGAAGACATTTTTCTGTACTGCACCGTGGAACAGTGCTAATTTTTTTTTACGGCAACTATCCAATAATTTGTTGTAAAAAAATGATTTAAAAATCGAAATTTCGCAAACGAATAACTTGCATTAATGTTATCAGAAAAATTGCCGCGTTGTAATTAACACAGATAATGTTTTTCTCTGTGTTGTAAAAATTGAATAAATAAAGTGTTAAGTTGTTCCAGGAAAAATCGTTTTTACAAACGAATTACGGGAGGTGTCAAGTGCTTTTAACGAATGTACAGGTCGGCTATTTTAAATAAAAGCAAGTCTTCTAATCATTTGGTTTATATAAACTTCTTTTATTCTGGCTTTCGTAACTCTAGTAAGACTTTTTGTCTCCAACAATTATTGTTGGCGTCATCTTGGACAATATTTTTCCAACCGTGCGTTGCTAAATTTTCCAAATACTTCTGTACCATATCCAACCAGATTTTCTAGGCGTCTCTCGGATTATACTTTACTCTTGGCTACCAGTTAGTAACCATTTTAAATTTGAATGGTATTTTAGATTCGGAATGTAGCGAAGAAAATTTTGGTTTTACAATGATGTTTATTTATTTATTTATTTTTTTTTATACTGTGAGCATCTTTTTTTACCGGAAATCTTGCTCAAATCAAGTGTTGTACCTTTTCTAAAAGAAAATTTCATCTAGTTAGTGCATTAGAGATGTAATTTACTTTTTCATTTTCCAAGCGGTTTTCATAATAATTGAAAAAAAAAACAGGAAAAACGTAGAAAAACGGAAAAACGTACTTACATGTATAGAAGAAATTTCGCTCCGGATCGATTTATGTTAGAAATGGTTTATCGTTGCGTAAATTAAATTCCTCTTTATAACTAATCTTCTCAACTTTTCACAGAAAACTGTGGCCCCACCCACTGTGTGAAGTATGCCTGTCTTTTTTTTATTCCTGACTTTACGGCTTCCGTTGGCCATTGTAATGTAATCTAACCTTATGGGGTGCTTGTGCTGAGGCAATTCTGTTTTTCGCTCGTAATTTCTTATTGGATTTCTTTTTCCGTTATTCAGCGCTTTTGTCAAACATTAAGCCACAAATTATTAGCTAATATCAAATTCAATTTTCGAAAGTTCCGAGTCTACTATAGTTCTGTTGTACTATTGTACTGTTGACCATGCATTACAGCTATGTGATTCTTATTTTTATTTATGTAGTATGTATAAAATATTATTATTATTATTTTTTTTTTTTTTATATACATACCTAAATACATACAATCACGTGTAACAATAACGATAATCAATAATACTCGTAATAATAACGATCACCGGTGTGTATTGAACTTACGATAAAAATAATACAAATTATTATTATTATTTTTTTTTTTTAATCTGGCGTGAAATGCATAAAGTAAAAAGAAACCTAAGTAAATATTATTTTATATATGTGTATATAAGAGCTCAATATAAAGTTTCGTTTCTTTTTGTATTGAACTTACGATAAAAATAATACAAATTATTATTATTATTTTTTTTTTTTTTTTTACGCCGTTTTATTATCGAAATAATAATATTGTATATAAAAAGATAACGACAAAAGCAACCGAGTCCAAACAGAAAAACGTGTAAGTACGGTCTATAATAATATTATGAAGTCGTTGAAAATCTCAACACATAGTCAACAACTGGCGCCATCTGTTCGTATGTTTTTTACAGTTCATTGAAAGCCGTTAAAAATCAATAGGTAGCTCTGGGAGCGAATTGTGAAAAAGGAGACGGGTATTACGAGTACACAACAACAATGCGATTAAGGTTTATTTATTTGAAAAAAAAAAATGAATAAATTGAAACACGTGCGAACAAAATTAATATTTTTATAATAATCAAAAATAATATAGTGCAAATAAGATGAAAAAATTATTTAAGAAAATAGAAAAAAAATTAAGTTGAGTTAATTGCATGTAGGAACTTAACATTTATATGGCAATAATATGGCAATATTATATTAATCTAAGTACCACAAACAATTGAAATGTAAGAAAATGTTAAAAAAAAAACACGCAGGGTAAAGTTTTACTCCGAAGATGATGTAGCGAAAAGTTAATACATTTAATTGGAGCTATTCGAGTAAACGAAATAGATAAATTCACGAACACACAAATTGTTTAAAAACAAAAAGAGAAACCGAATAAAAGTAAATAGATTTACTTGCGAAAGGGTTTTATACATTGAAATCATTCTATACAGTATAATTTAAAAGTCGGAAAATTTGTATTTTTTTTTATCGAATTAATATCTTAACGGGTTTTTTGCGTATAATTTCACGGAGTAAAGCCTTTTCCACCGTTGTGAAACTTAACCGATATTACTTAAAAACTACCCGTCACCCAAAACGGTTTTAATAAGAAAAAAAATCGTTTTGTTCGTTTGAAAAAAAAAGAAATTAATAAAATAAAATGTAAAAAAAAAATGCATGGGTCCAAATCGTCATCATTATTGTTAGAGCTGCAGTGACCGTGGTCGTCGTCATTCCGATTTGGGTGCCGCGTACGGACAGCCCAGAAACTTGTCGCAAATACGTCCGCCCTCGCGGAGACCGCTGAGAAAAGCGCCGTGAACAGTGGCCGGATAATTACGTATGGTGTGCTCGCCTAGAAAAAATAAAAAAAAAAAATAAAAAAAAAAACCGTTTAATAAAAACCGTGTCCAGACAGGTACCGTGTGTTATAATACAGGCATACAAAATTACAGGTCTCGCCCGTTCGTCCGAAAAAAAAATAAAAAAAAAATATGACGAAACACCGCGTCCCAGACAAGTATTATATATTATACTGCAGGTAAGGTACCTATTATATTATCACGGTATTGTGATACTAAGTACGTGTGTCGTTTAGGTCGGAATCGAAATTAATTTCACTCGGGAAATATGAATATTGTGCTGGAAAAAAAAAATTTTAAAAAATACACCCCTCGCGACGTTCACACGTCTTCACTTATGATATACAAATCCGTTACGGTCGTTACAAATATAAATCAGCTCGTGACGACTCTTTTCGATGGGGTAATCGGTCAACGCGTCGTCATCGTCTCGACCCGAGAGTAAATACGCTAGTGGTCGGGCTGCTGCTGCGGGTGAATCGGATTTACGGGGTGGACACAAACAAATCGGGCCGGGCCACGTTAAAAGAGAGAGAGAGAAAAAAAAAAGGAGAAAAAAGACGCCTCGTTAAGACGCGTATTGTAAAACGTAGGCGGGTATACACGTCGCAAGCGATGAGCCAGACGACCGCCGTTCTTCTTTTGACATGTTAATTATAATATTTTAGGTGTATGTATTATGTGTGTACGCGTGTGTTTATCCTCGAAAATCTTACCCGCGAAGTAGAGTCGTTCGCTCCCGTCTGTTGGGTTCGCCTTCATGTCTGGCTGCGAGCTTCTGGAACACGAGACGGGAGCCGCGAGCAAGTCGTAATCCGATCCCGAGGCGCCGACAGCCACGAACGAATACGATCCTCGGGCCCAAGGATCGGCTCTCCAGCGGGTCACGACCGTTTCTTTAGGCTGAAAAATATTAAGAATATATGTATTGAACGCGGGATAGAAAAACACGATCGTTATTTTCATTTCAGATTCCGAGTGCAATTTTACTATTATTACGCGTTTTTTTTTTTTTTTTTTTTTTTTTATCCGTGAACAACCGCTTTCTACCGGATGTTTTGCTCCGACCGAAAACCGAAAAGAGAGTATCATTTGGGATATTGTTGAAGCATATTGGACGGTCATCGCTCACACCTAAGGCAAGCCGAATGTCAGCAAAAATGAAAAACCGATGTACCTACCGTTGTCATTCTTAGAAAAACTGTCGGGAATCAATATAGAAACAATTTTGTTCGGTGCATTTTTCCGATCGGAAAAACGCAGCATCTCAGCAGACATGTTCGTTGGGAATTGAAAATAAAATTCCTATAAAACCTTGCCGGGTTTGTGAAATAGGTTCACAGGAAACGTAACGATTCATTACTCGTACAACGCGTTTTCATCGGAAAACGTATCGGAAACCGGTATAGTGTTATTACAATATCGGGCATTGTCGGAAACGCGCGTGCCGCGCGCATTGAAAATTCGGGACCGCGACGTCGGATCGGCGTTGTCCGTGTGACCGCCCGTAAACCCGTCGGACGCGCGCGTTCCGCGAGCACACGCGGACGGATAACGGAAACGAGATAGGGCCGCGAGTATTTAACAATAATAGTTATCGCGTGCGGTCAAACGGAAATCGGAGGGCGCGATCCGTCCGGGGTACGGTGACGCCGCCGGCGCGTCAAACCGAACCGATCGGATTGTTATTGCGCTACGGCGGGGAGCGCGTGACGGAGACGTTCCGCGGGGTCCCAGGTGACGGGGCTCCGGCGCAAGAGCTCCGGCGAGACGAGAGTAAAATGACGCGCCGACGGTTCGGAAACGCGGGCACGGCGAAATACCGTTGGCGTACGCGGCGCGCGACGTGTTTCGACAATCGCGGACCGGAAGCGCGACAACGTAGCGCGGGGTACCGCGCGCGAGACAATCGGTTTGTTATCCGGACCCCGACGGCGAAAAAATGGAAAAAAAAAAAAAAATAATGAAAAACGAACGCCGAGTAGCAGGTACCGAACACCGCGCTATCCGCTACCGCGTAATGTCGACGGCGTTTCGGCGTTTAAAAGGGAGTCCGTCGAGTTTCATTTTTTTTTTTTTTTTTTTTTTTTAAAAAAAATTAAAATAAACAGCGAAACAAAAGTTTTTAATACCGTTGATCGCGGGAAATCAACGCAATTACTCGTACGCATAACGCCTCGCGCACGAGTGTACGAGTTGAATACGGCGTACGGCTTTTTAACAAATCCGTGTTGATTCAATTTGATTTTGAAACGGCGCCCGGACATTGTTTAGTCGACACCAACAACGCGGTATTCTTCAATTAAACACGCCCCGTTACCGGTTTATGCTCCCGGTGTTTCCGTTTCTTCTGATACCAAAAACGTATTTTTCGATTTTTAGCGGTATACGCCCTTTGAACGAAACGGCATCGAGATGCCGACGAATTTTCAACGGGAAATCCGAGAGGAAAAACGGTTACGCTCTTCGCGCGTATAAACGCGAAAGAGTTTGTTCAAAATCAAAAATAGTTTTACCGGTGAAAACAACACTACAATGACGGCGGTCTTAAGTAAATATAACCGCGCGCCCGGACGACAAACGAAAAAGCACAAAGGTAAGCACAAGTAGAACGTCGCTGTGCCTACAAGGTTTTTGGGGATTTAAATTTTTACAATATATTATAAGGTAGCGGAGGAGCTCGCGTGTACCGGTATACCTCCCAGGAGGTCAGCATAATCGTATAAAATATTATTTCGATATTTAACGATTTCGATTATAAAATATAATGCCGCCGCACCTTGACACGTTCAAATATTAATTTATAAATATATATATGTATGGAGAGAGAGATATTTTACTAAAAAACAGGTACACGTACATCTACTCTGTGTCAGATGATGTGACGCTCATTTAAGGGGGTGAACCGATGTCCTACAGGTACTTAGAATACCCTGACTGTAAACAAAGTTGGAGAGGGGTTCGCCGCTTTTTTTAATAATATATATATACGCAGTATGCACTCATATTTTTTCACGTTCACACCAAATGGACACTCCCTGGCCCGGGGTACCTATATAATTCAAGTACAGTTTTTGAAAACAAAATGTCTGAGGAGGAGGTCATCGCCGCGTATCTGCCCACTGTAATAAGACTCTCTGTATACACTCCCGCTACAGATGAGTAAATTAATTTAATGTTAAATTTCCGAAAAATACTTCTTTGTATCACTTTTTCAAATTCAAACCACAGTAGGTACAATTATTAAATACTCAGTTGTCTACTGTACCGCGTATTTGACAAGTCCATTACTTAACAGTCGACATTCTATACGTTCTAAAACGTTTGTTCGATAGTTAGATAACGTTCAACGTTGTTTGTTGGAAATTATTTTTGGTACTAATCAAATTTCAAATTTGTCTTGCGCTATCCGTAGCGTGTACTAGTAGCGCAAACGTTTGATAGAATTTTTATTAGACTGTATCCGTATTACTCTATCTGCTAGTCGACATTTATGTTATATTATTATTAACTTTATTTGTGACCGCAAACAAATGTTTAATTACTCGGTGTTTTCGAATTTTAATAGGTAAACGTTTATATACTCACGTCCGGAACGTTAGCGTTGCCGAATATCCCTCTTAGTACCAACATGCACCTGGCGATAATTATATCGTCTGACACTTCTTCCATGATGCTGGCCGCTTCGCCGGCGACCAGGGCCAGCAATACAGGAGCCCGGTAGAGATTCCAAAACAAGAACAGTTCCCCACGACTCGCGGTGGTGCTGCCGATGTGTCCGAATAGGTTACCGTTCGGATCCCAAAATATCCGGTCGAAGCACAAGACCACTTTGTTGAGGTTTCCGAAGCCCAGACGTTCGATGGCGGCCACTTTCCAGTCGGGCAACGATGGCGAAAACTGCACGGTGTTCGGCAACGATCGAGTCTTCTTGTTGGTGGATTGCTTGAGTACGCCCAACGGCAATGTGCAAAGCACCACATCGCCTAGAAAAATAAAATAATGCGACGGATAAAAAAAAAAATACATAATAAACATTTTTAATATAAAAAAGTCGAGCGTAATGCGGTAGTTTATTTCTAATAAACGTTTTAGAGATCGAACGTTGACGAAAACGATAAAAACTACGTAAATTTAACCGAACTTCGGTCAGAATCGAATTTCGTTAGCGATGGTTCTTTTTGCGTACATATATAGTAAAAAAATAACTTAATTCATCCCATACCTTTCCGATTTCCCACCCGCAAATAGTGGTACACCAACCAGCAGTATCAGATCCGTATCTAATCGAAATTGTGTGTTATATTTTGTAAAACGATAAAAATATACACGTATATATATATATATACGGGTACACTACGATAACATGTATTGTTTCCCTTTGTAGTTTATCGTTAATATTAAGCGGTTTTCGGTAAAAATAATTTAATTATGATGCTACCGATCGACAATTATTAATAATGGAATAATATTAAAACGTGTCATTTTACCGGCAGCGCGGTGCAAAAGTAAAATGAATGATGCGCGATTAATGCGTTTTTATTATATAATATATTTAATTTAATTGAAACCTTTATTTTTTTAAATTAAAACACATTCACTTACACCCCTTTTAATGTAAACCTCGGACCACTAGTGCGCGTAGAGTATTCGATGATGATGGCGGAGGCGCTTTGTGTCGCGGATGATTAACGAGCGCGTTTACGGGGCGAACAATGTGAATTCGATTGAGGCAAAGGCAAAAAAAAAAAAAAAAAGAGAGAGAGAGAGAGAGAGAGAGAGAAAGGAAATTAAATGAATTACAAACAATAAACGGCTGACGAAATGTATTTGACCACATCACGGTGTATAGCAAACAAACGTATGAGGATTGATAATTTGGCGATTTTTTTTATTTTTTTTTTATTCATATATCCCCCAGTGCTCATCCGAAAATAAATTAATACGGCAGCATATTGAAAATCCGTTGTTTGTTTTTGTTCGGTCTCGGAACTCTCGATCATGATGGTTTTAATTTGAAATTCAAATTCAAATCGAAGAACAATACGCGCCACGTCCAAATATCAATCAGTGATTTTAATTCGTTTTATAATTATTTTGGCTAAACGTGCCGATAAAAATATTTTAGTATAGGGGTTTCCCATAAAATCCGTTGTATCGTTTTTTTTTTTTTTTTTTTTGAAAAACATGTACGCGCGTAATTGCTAAAAGAAAACCGTAACTTGAATACTATTTGAACTCATGTACATTATTATATGAAACCTATAAGATATTATACAATGGTCCTAGATAAGTCAAAGTCCGTTTACCACGAACAACAACGAAAAGGAACCCGATATAGGGAAGTCTTCTCCTTGGAAGACCGAGCAATAGGAACGGCGAGACGTATTCAAGAGTTGCGGATGGATTAGGAGGAAGTTTGGATTGGAAAGCGCGAAAATCAGATAACCGGAGGTTTTCCGGGATGGTCCTAGAGACCGATTATTTGCCCGCCGAAGAAGATTAGTAGTGCGTGCATATTGTTATCAAATATCAAATTATACTTTCAAATCAGAGACATTAGGAAAATTATAATTGCAGTACTTACCTTTGTAAACGGGTCCGGCCGCATTCGATCGCGGATTGGAAGTGGTAACTTCGACACCGTTCGTTCCGTAAGTTATTTGTTTAATGGCGGTGTTTAATTTTATGTCCAGACCTTCTGCCAAAGCTACCGGCACACAAGAGTATCCGTTTCGCACTGTAAACAAATGCAAATCGAAAATTATTATTTTATGTAGGTATCATACGGTTATATCGTTTGTATCTAGGAAGCAAAAGAACTCGCTGAAATCTGCAGGGCGGGCCACTTAATATAATACGAACTCGTTGTCGCCGGGGAGTGGACGAAATATATTCAAAATAAACGATTTCGTATATTATTTTTACTTTTTGAATTGGAAATAGTCCCAAAGTATACAAATAGAAAAAATATTATTTTTATGGAGGCGGATTTCACGTTGGCGGATTACATCGGGAGAATAATTTAGTATTCTCTCGAGTCTCCAGTTTTTGTTCGCGAGTTCTCTGTGAAAAAATATCGGACCCACAATTCGAAAGAGAAAAGAAAAGCTAAATGTTTTTCATGCACCGTATATAGATAACCCGTCGAGAAAATTGAGTTCCGATTTATTTCCGTCGAAGATTTTAAACCGTGACTTTCGATGCGTACATCAAATCGTTTTGCATACAAAAACAATGTAAAAAATACATGGATTCAATTTGTTTAGAGAGAGAAAAAAAAAACCAAATCAAAAACGAAGAAATCCGCAACGACCTAATATTTGTAATTTTTTTTTTTTTTTTTTTTTTGATTTTTTATCGAACCCTGTGGAAATCTTCAACCTTAGTGTATTGACGCACGGTCGATATTATAATATTATTACACTAAAATTAGACGGGTAATCCAAACACCGTACGGTCCTCGCGTAACGACGATCAACACAAACAACGGGCGAATAATTTAAACGGAAACGATTCCATTAGCCGCCGCGGAGGTGACGGCTAATCTCAAAGACTGCAACACCTAATTTATTATTATAGAGGTTATAGAGGCGATTTCGATCGTATCCGTCGCCGCGCGTTCTAATTGCCGAGTAAATATTTTACATTATGTTAATCCGAATACCGCGATCCGTTCGCTCGGGAATTTATGCGAACGGTGTACAGGGCGTTGCTTTCACGTCCGCGGCGGTCGCGCGCGGTCAGGCTACACAAACGCAACGGAACGCGAAACGGCCGCGTTTCCACTGAACTGTCGGACTCCGGCGGCGTACTCGACTCACAGGGATGCGATACGTTTCTCCGGACGCGTCGGTGCGGCGTTTCCGGACGTGCACACGAGACTTTGGACGGCGCCCCGTAACGGCGCGGGGGAAAAATCGTTTTGCCGCGGGAATTCGCAAAAAAAAAAAAATCCGTTGTCACCGCACTCGACGGACCGCGAACGGAACGCCCCGCGGCGGCGTGCAACGGGATTTCCGTGCGCGCGATACGCCGAAACGGTTTTGACATGGACCTCGCAGTTAACACGGCCCCGCGGGCGTGCCGGGCAGGTGACGTTATTCATATCCGTTCGCTCCCGCCGAATCCGCGTAGAGCCGACCGCGAACCGGCCGAGCGGGCGCTCGTCTTCACGCGCATACGCACGCCGCGCGTTCGGAAACACGACCGCGGGCCGACCGCGCGACCGCCGCGGCGCGAACGCGGTGGGCACGCGCGACGACGACAGGACGGCGGGTCGTCTCATACGATACGGTCGGCGGCCGGCGGCCGGCGGTCGGCGCGTACGCGGAAACTTTGGACGCTCGCAGTTTACTCGGGGCCCCGAGTTAATTACGCGGGAACAAACGGCGGTGCACTAAGGTTTCCGAAAGTACGTTAACCCCTCGTCCGGTCCCTTTGTCCCGCGAACGCTTTGCGTCGCGCGCCGCGGTACAACAGTTGTACGGCGGCGTGTGACAGTGCCGACTGTAAACGATGCCCGGGGTCGAATGGAAACCGCGGGGCCCGCGGCCGTCTCGCCGAAACGCTTCACTGGAAACTTTAAGCGGAACGCGGACGTCGACGCGCGTTCGGTGCTTTTAAGGCGATTTAAACGAAATTGCCGATAAGAAAAACCGCAAACGTTAATTACATTGTCGACTCGAAAATTGCACAAATTCAGAATAAATTAACCGTGCACAGTATCGCGCCGATTCGCGGGGTCGCGAGAAGGACCTTTGAATCGCCGGACTTTATCGCGATATACCGTGTTGAAAAAAAACACGCGGTTTTCTCTGGAGACAACGATTTTTATTCCGACGACGGTTTTATAGATGCGTTTTGAATACCGACACATTTGAAAACTAATTGTTAAGTTTACTAAAATAAAAAAAAAAAAAATTAAAAAAAGGAACCCACTGCTATGCTATACAGAACCCAGAAAATATCGTAACCACGCTAAAAAATATATTGTGCAAAGATTATCATATTTTCCATCGGTTTCGACGCTGGAAATACGGGGTGGATGGGGATAGAGCGGGACTTTCTTTCGGAAATAATATTTCACGAAAAAAATAAAAATAATAATGTTATTCACCCGGACGACGACGACGAAACGATTAAATTATTTTCGTATCGTTTTTATTGGAAAAAAATGTATCGTTATTGTTATACTCTTTAATATTATTATATTAATATATGCGAACAGCAACGATTGGTTCGCTAGAAATATAATATTCAAACGATAGAGTTAAAAAAAAACAAAAAAAAAAAAAAAAAAAAAACGCGAATTTCGTTTATATTATATTATGTTGTACGAGCGAAAATCTCCGTGCGAGCGGTTATTCGATACCCGGGTGGGTACCCAGTGCGTTGCGATCAAAATAATAAAATGCAATATTTTAACGGCACTCTCGTTAATAATATTGCGAAAAAAAATAAAGAGAGAGAGAGAGAAAATAAAAAAACACGTAATTATTGCATATTTAAAGTCGTTATTTTTGTCCAACTCGCCCGTGATGTTTAAATTATACGCTGCGCGAGTACGCAATACTGTATAATTTTTCATTTTTTTTTTCACATCGTAATATACATACAAACTACGTTATCTTTATTTTTTATTCCTTTACGTTTGACAATTATTATTACTACAATATTATCATATCGTAAATATCGTTGCGCGGCCGTCCGCCGCAGTGCCCCGCCGCCATTTTCGATTCTCGGACGTTCGCAGTCGTAACAGTTAAATTTTAGCGTTTTATTATTTTGTACGAGCGCACGGTAATAAGAAGTACGCGAAGACGCCGGAACGAACGCTCGGCAAAGTTTCCCAATGACGTTTTTTAACGCGCCTTCGCGCAAAGCGTACAGTAAAGGTTACGGTATTCTCGTTATGTCGCCATACCACCGCCGCCCGTCGATGTCTTTTAACCGTCCGTTTGTACGGAAACGAGTTTTTCGCGTTGAACCGATGCTGGCCGAAAACGGTAACGCGGTCTCGCGGCAAGACAAAATACGCGATACGCGATTGCCCCGTGATAAAAATTTAAATTTTAATTGTTACGACGTTGTGCACCGCGGTGTTGATTCTGAGTCTTCCGCGTGAAAAAAAAAAAAAAAAAAACGAAAAAATTCGTATACACGGGCGCTAAGAGGAAATCGGAGAACTTCTCCGAAATGTCGAAGAGTCTCGAACCGTGCGTAGAAAAAATGTTTCGGTCGAACACCGATCCGTAAAAAGTCACTTCCTTTTGTCCGGTCCGCCGGGAACAAGGCTGAGTGTCGACCGGGGGGGGGCGGCGGCTTGTCGGCCGTCAAAGCGGCCGGGCCCCCGGGTCGTATTTTCGGCCGCGGGGAGCCCCCCCCCCCGCTCTTCCGGAGGTGTGTGCGTGGGGTCGGGGCTCTTCCCCGAGCGCCCCGGCGGTGACGTTCCGACCGTCGACCGTCCCCCGAAGCGGCGGCCGGTTTCCGCAGCCGTTATTCGCGTTTCGGTTTCCCGGGCGGCCGCCCCCGTCCCGCCGCCCGTACGCATAACGCGGGCGGTCTTTTACACGCGCGAAACGCGCCGCAGGTGGCGCGAACCGAATAATGCGAAAAGTGTTTGCGGGCCCGTACGCCCAGCGCGCGCACGGTGTGTCGTGGGCGTGATTGTATTATTTCATCGGGACGGGCCCGCGGGCCGCGTAATAACATTGTAAAAATAACGACACGAAGCGCGCGCTCGGGGAAGTCTCGAATCTCGACGCATCTAGATGGATATTGTGCGCGGCGGCGGCGGTTTTTTTTATTTTTTTTTTTTTTTTAAATATTCAAAACGAAAAGAACGCCGGCCGAATTTCCACGCGCTAATGGGACCGGATTTATAATATAATATTATTATTATTATTATTATTGCGGTCACTACTTATAGAGTCGGGCCACAACCAACGCCGTGCGCATAATAGCGGGTCGTATAATAACAATAATGAAAAAAAAAAATAAAAATAAAAATAATAATAATAAAAAAATATACGTACGTATATATATATATATATAAATCGTTCTAATTTAGATCGGAAAAACGGATAAAGTCAAACTGTAGGGGGTTCAGTTATAATTGCTCCGATCAACACTTAGGTATATAATATAATACACGCGGTCCGGTCTCGTGGAAGGTTTTTTTTTTTCTATATAATATAATGTTATATATTTTTTTTTTTTATCAAGATCCGCTGTTGGCCGTCTATCCTCGCACGCAGCAGCCACAGCCGCGACCGCTGATGGCCACTCCTCCGTTCCACTGGCCGCTCCTCGCGGACGGCCGACCGTCAATAACCGCGGGGTCGCCGTCCCGACCGGTGAGTGACGGTGACCGGCACCGGTAAACACTCGAACCGGCTATTATCAACACAATAATATTCCTTCGAAAAATGCCGAAATACTTTCACACCCAACACCCCCCCCCTCTACCTTTCCCATCTCCATCTTATTTTCTCGCGTTTGCGGGGCGACCGAGTGAATTCGATTGGTTTTTTTTTTTTCCCCATTTCCGTCGTTGCGGAACCGTTTTAACACTGTGCTCGATTTTTCACCCAAACTCCATTTCCGTTTTCGTATTTGATTTCTACATTTTCGTACAATTTTTTAAAAACCTATAAAAAGACACACGCTTTTAGTTTAGGAAAGTAGATCCAAAATATCATAATCTACATACAAATACGGTAAAGAGAAAAGATTCGTTTGCATACGTTTAAAATGGTCAAGCTCAAAAACAACTTGACCGATTTTAAAAATTCTCTCACCTATAAAACGCTACATTATCAGCGAGTAACACGGAATGTATTTTTTTTTTTTTTTTTTCAAAGATCTCTACGGAAATCGCGATAGTGTGACCCGAGGTCCCGAAAATAACGACCGGATAATGTACTAGAGCGTTTACGGTACGTACGTTTATTCGTGGGTTACCGACGATGATGCGAGGATGACAGTTTCATTTTAGAATTTTTATTTTACATTTAAATTTTCATTTTTCGAAACGAAACACGCCCGAAAAAGAAAAACCGCAGCTCGTCAACTGCAGCGAAGCGACTGTGCAAATTAAAAATTTTTTTCATCATCCCGGGTACGGTGCACGCGGGCGACGCCGCATCGGGACCGGCAACACGCTTGTGTAGACTCGGCGACGCGTCGAAAATCGTATTCGGAACGGTTGTCCCGTCGCCGGACTGTCACGCGTTACGCGGCCCGCACGCCGGAAGTAAAACAACGCGTATAAATCGCTTTGCGGCGCGCGACGCGCGTCAGTCGAACCGACGGAACGCCGCTTCCGGTTTTCGTGGGAACCGCGCGACCGGGCGGCTCGAACGAAACCGGAACGTTTCGCCGTCCGGCGGTTCGTTTTCGGACGGGCGTAAAAGACGCGGCGTCGCCGGCGCTGTCGGCGCGACCGCCCGGGCACGGCGAACACGATTGTCGCGCGGCAGCAGTCCCCGCGAACGGCGCGTTCGGAAACGCGCGCGCGAAAACGAGAGAGAAAATACGTACGGCGGCGCCGGGCGTCCGTCCGTCCGTCCGTCGAACGACAGGTTTGTTTTTGGTTTTTTTGCCGTGGCGCCGCCGAGAAAACCGAAAACGACGACGTATTATTCGCGCGCGCGCGCGCGCGCGTTTTTAATGTGGCCGACGATCGGGGTTTCCGGTCGAAAGGACGCTGGCGGGCGGAAAAATAACGGGCGCCTAACCTCCACCGCCCCCCCCCAACCAACACAAATAACGTAAAACCGATACGCGGTCCTCGTTTCGAGAGAAAAAAAACGCATCGTTACAAAAATATTACGCGTTACGTCTGCGGTTTATTGCGAATCCGGGTGATCGTGATTTTCGGCCGGTCCCGGGTATCCGTGCGCACCGCACGAAACCGTATACGGGACGCGTTTAAATCGCATACGGCAAAGACGATTTCTATGGATAATACAATTAATAACTACTGCTTAAATACCGTGTTTTTTTTTTTTTTTTTTTTTTTTTTTTTTTTATGTCTTATTAAATCTGTA